CTCCAGGTCTTGTACATATTATTCCCTCGATGTGAAATGCCTTCCCTTGCTTTTCTACCTAGCAAATGACTACTCTTCTTTCAAGCTGTGCTCAAAGCCTCTGGGACCCCCTCCCAGACGCCTCCAGGCATAGGAAGCCTTCACTAAACCTTTAGGTATCTGCCCCACAACAACGATCACATAGGTTCCGCATCGTCTGGCTTTTCTATCAGGACCAGGATTGCCTGGGAATAGCAGTAACATTTACAACAACTAGTTTATCTAGTAAGTACGAGGCTGGGGGGGTCAGGGCGTATGGTACAGCAGAGTGTGTCTATAAATGCTGGCTGCATGAAAGTACTAAGCTCAAACAAATGGAACATACCTGGTGGCTTTTAGTATGAAGTTGTGCTGCCAATACAAGGTTCAAATCTACCAGTAGCCCCACAGAAGGAAGACTGGCAACTTCCTCCTGTATGATCTACTGCCTCTGAAAACCCACTGGAGGGTTGCCTGGCTCGGTTCAGACTTGAGGATACATAACAACATCTTTCTGTTTAGACTGAAATTTCAATATTGATCTAATTTTTTTTCTTAAAGTGTATGACAAGTAATACATAATAATAAAGGCCTAGAAGGGGGAAAAGGCAGCAGGAGGGAGGAGTGAGCACTTCCAAACTGGGATATAAGCATGAGGATTTCTAAACAGAGATACCACACGACATACTGTGGCACCAATCTTGTCAAGAGAGGAGCGCCTTTTGTTGGTTGAACTCAGCCCTAATAATAAAATATTTTCCTTTGACAGCAGCTGTCAGTAGCTTAGAAGGAAGTGTCCTAATCTACCTGGGCATTAGTATTGTGCTGGGTTTCACCACAGTCAGATGTAATCAACAATTGGCAAACCACACAAGGGATATAGCAACTTCAAGCCAAACAATAAAACAAAGTGGACATCTAAAGACTAATTTGGGCTTAGTCTTGAACATACACATAGACCACTTTGAAGAATGCCAACAGTGGTGTAACAGCTGACAGACTCAATTTTTTATGAGGCCTCATTAGTGGAAACCTCTCTCAGAACAGAGCTTATTTATTTAGGGCTAAGTTATCTATGTAATTTGAATATTTCACTCTGTCAACTAACTCCAGCATACAGGAAACTATTTTTAAATGTGAATGCAGCTAGCTTAAAAAATAGGGACACAGTCTAAGATTTCTTTTTAAATAGCAATAATTAGATTTTTTTAGGAAGCGCAGCAAATGCCCAAAACAAATACTCAAAGCTGTAAACTTTAATTTTTTTCACCCTTCAAACATCCAGATAATCTTAAAAACATGCAATTCTTTTAATCTTTGGGTCTAAATCATTACCTCTGCAGTGTGTGGAACAATGTCTGGCTGACAGAAGCTTTTTACTGAATAAATGCATAAACAGTAATAACAGTCTTCACAATTATTTTTCTAAAAATCTGCTATTTACTATGAAATTATCCTATAATTACATCAAGGTTAGCAGTGTAATGACATTTTTTCAGGTACATCCATCTCTTACTGTCTAATACAGACAGTCCGTACAGCACCAAAGAAAGTTCTAAAGATACAGACTTTCAGGTGCTTTTTTCTAGGAATGACTGAAGGGACAGCTGGAAGGAGACACTCAGGTAAATAAGCTGAGAAATGTGGACAATTTCTAAGGGATAAACATAGAAAGGCAACAGGAAGCTCTAATGGAGCAGTGGTTAATGCATCTGGCTGCTAAATTAAAGGTTGGTTGTTAAAATCCACCAACTACTCTGTGGGAGAAAGATGAGATTGTCTGCCTCTGTAAAGATTTATAGACTTGGACACCCTTGGAAAAACTTGGGAGGCAGTACTTGCTACTATGTCCTACAGGGTCCATATGAGTTGGAATTCACTCGATGGGCAGTGGGTTTGATTTTAGAAAGGAAAAAGAGGCATGGTTTACATACTACCTTAACTCAGAAACTCCTATGAAGTTAGGGGAGGAAAAACAAGCGAGCTGATTAACAAAGCAGTAAATGAAAATTTTCTACAAACCTTCCAGAGCATAATCTGATTTTGACTCATTCACTGAAGCATATGACAATCATTTACTTTGTATGTTTTAGATAACGTGTTAGGTAGTAATGACATAGAAAGAGGAACCAGCCAAATATCTATCTTCAAGTAGAGGCCGACCTGATACATCTTCCCATAACCAAGAGTGAAGCAGCCAATTACCAACTGAGTAAAGGAGAGCTAAAGTCACCAACTTATTTCTAGCATAGTGGAAGTTATTATATGCTCCTGATTTCAGCAGGCTGATAAAGTACTCAGATGTGCCAAATGAAAAGCCAGTGATCTTTTTTCTTAGACATTTAGAGATAGACGCAAAAACCATGGGGGGAAATGCTAAAGGTTTGAATACTAAAACATTCTATCACTTTGCTGGGACATCATTCTGGGTGGCAGGCCTTCTGCAATATTCAGTTTGGAGTGAATTAAACTGTTTACCGGTCTGAATTTGGTCAGTGACCTCATCTCACCACCAATCAGAGCAGAGTAATCAACTCTGCAAGGGTAAACCTTCTCACAGAGTCTTCAGTTTGCACAAAGATCAATCCAACTTTTGTTTAACAATACATTCCCCTCAGAGAACTGACTCTCTAAAGCAGTGCTGTGATGATGGAAATGTTCTTTATTTTGTGTTGTCCAATACAGCAGCTCCTAGCTAGATGTAGCTACAGAGCCCTTGAAATAAAATGCAGCTCAAAAATCAAATAACAAATCTAGGTATGAACAAAATAAAGCTTGCCTTATTTGTTTTAAAGACATGAAAGAGGGCTTCCATATGAACCCTGGAGAATGATTTCTAAGGTACAAAGGAAAAATGCAGGTGTCACGTAAGTCAGCAGATTTTTGTGGGCACAGCTGAATTACAATGGCTCTTCTGATACCACAGTGGGGTGCTGAGACACCGCCTCAAGGGCAGAGATCTTGTGGGAGATTGTGCAGCAAGGTAACCAAGGACTTGTTAAACTGAATTTTTAAACAAAATTTACTAGTGTTCAAAAATGATATAAAAAATATGGAACTAAGTTTCAGAAAGCTAAGAGAAAGAAATAGGAAATTGCAAAAAGAACCCAAACCATGTGACTTTAACAATTTGCTGTAATTAGGAGACCTTGGGGGAACCGGATCTGCCACAAGTAAGCGGCTAGGATCTGTCGCCTGTGATCTGGTCTTTTCTTTAGCCACGTGGGGTCCCGGATGCCATTTCATGTTTCACACCCTCAGTCATTAGTATTTTTCATAGATATTAGTGTTTGGATTTCTAATTTGCTCTTCTGCTTCTTCAGTGCCATTTAGTAAACATTGTAAATATTTTCTACTTGATTGTGTATTTTCAGGCTGGCACATCTAACATATTTAAAGTAGAAAACAACTTGCTTTGGGGAAGAAACAAAGAAAGTTCACAATTACTAAGCATTTCTAGGTACCCAGTCCTTCTTCTGCCACAAGTCCTGTGAGGAAGATGTTATTATTCCCGCATTTCTGATAAGGACACTGAAACACAGAAGATTAAATAACTGACCCACAACTGGCAGTGGCACAGCTGTCATTCTAATCTATATCTGTCTGATCTTAAAATGTGTATTTTCACTAAGTTATATTCAATTTTTAAAGAGAACTTTATAATCTGAATTTCAGAAACAAATTCCCTAGTAAAACTGATGGTAACCTTAGCTTTCCTGTCTGTTTCTTCTATTGTTTGTCCTTCCTCTGCCTCATGAATGAAAGAAAAGAAAGAAGAATATGGAATAGTTCTAGAGTGGATCTAAAGCAATAGCACCAAGAAGTCTTGTTTCCTTTCAGTTTCTAAACACACATGTTACATATATATGTCATCATTCTGTGCCACTGAGTCATAATAGACTCATAGCTGACCCTCCAGCCAGTTTTCAGAGGCAGTAAATCACATGGGAGGGGACTGCCCATCTTTCTCTCATATCTCACTATATCCAACAGAGCTTTAAAGCATTAAAAACAAACACTCAAACCTCTCAAAGGGGTAGCTTACAATTGTATTCATGCAAATGATTTGCCTGAGTTGGCAAAAGGACACGGAGTACTTTTCCTATCATTTCATATCCAATGATAGGGATTATTTTCTTGAATCCAAATGCTCTAAGTAAAAAATCTGGGATATATAATGGACTCCTTATACTATCCAGATCTAATGAACTACCAAATCTGATGTAGTTTACCTTTAACTAATTCCCAAATCTATCCATTGTCCCACTATTTTCGATTATGTCTCTCCTTTTCATCTCTCTGTGTGGCCCTTAATAGTATTCAAGGATCAGATTTCCTGCTACCAACTATTTTGCTTCTAACCTATCCTTGCATGGAGCTTACAAAATGGATGTTCTAACATGCAGACCTTATCACATTATTCCTCTGCTTAAAATGTTTTGATGATCCACTATCAAAATCAGTAAAAAGTTGATGGTTTTAGCCGGTAACTCCTGTCTAACTCTTCAGTTCCCATTTCAGTAACACAAAAATGGTGATAGTATGTGAAGGCACCAAGTTCTTTGGCATCATCACGCTTTTTGTTCATGTTGTCTAGTTGGAATACTCTGCATCTCCTATGTCAGCCAGCTGATGTAACTCAGGAAACCTTCTTTTCCTATTCCTCCTCCTCATGCAATAGAAAAGAACATTCTTTCTATTGCAGCATTTATAATATACTGAAATCGTAGCAAGTTCACCTGCTCCCCTTGAGATGAAAACTCTCAATGTATGGATGATGTCAGCACCCTTGGATCATGGTAGCAGATGCTCAATATATGTCTTGTAAATATCAGGGCTTTTTCTCTGATGTTAAGTTAAAAATTTATAATTCTAGCTTTTGCAACTGGAAGCAATAAACCTTCAGGGAAATACAGGAGTTGGCTAGTTTAAATACTGGTTTAGCGAAGTTTAAACATTACTTCTGTGATAGTTGTACTTACCTAAATTACTGTAGGTTGCACTACAAGGGCTCAGATCCATAGAATCTGAATTATCTTCTTTCTCTTCTTCCTTTTCCAGTTCACTGCAAAGTAGGGGCAATGCTGGTGTGATGGAAGCAGAGCCTCCACCATCTTGCTTCACAACCACAGTTCTTGGATCCCGAGAAGAAAAATCCTCTTTTGTCACTTCGTGGGTCACATGACTGAAACAAACCAGACCATATTGGTTTGAATGTCATACTGGCATTCAAAAGATCCTGCTAAAATTTAGATTTACAAGAAGGTATATACTGCCTATCAACACAAATAACTAGTCTTATACTCACAGCAATGGTTCATAAAACACAACATAAATGTCTGAATACAAAGCAGACCTTCATGCAGGCTGAAACTCTATTTACCTTACTCCACACATACCGAGAATACAATATGGTAATGGAAGTACAGTAGGCTCAGAGGGAAGATTGAGAATAACAGGCAAAGGGAGGAAACTGATGTCTTTTTAAGGGTGGTACTGGTGGTAGAAGTTTGGCTGGTTAAAGACAAATATGTGAAAGTATTACATTACAATAAAAACTCAAGACTCACTGCTGTCATCTGTTCTGACGCATGATGTTGTTTGGTGCCAATGAGCCAAGTACAACTCATAGTGACCCTATGAACAGCAGATCTGAATCGTATCCTATCTAATGCCACCCTCATTATTTCTGATATACTCCAACCTCCTGCAGTCACTGTGTCAATCCATCTGGCTGAGGGTCACCCTGTCCCTCACTGACACTCCACCTTTCCAAGCATAGTGCCCTTTTCCAAGAAATAGCCTCTTGTAACAAACATGTCCAAAGTATGTGATACAATGCTTTGTAATCTTTGTCTCCAAGGAATACTCTGGCTGTACTTTCTCCAAGACATATCTGTTTGCTTTTTTGGCAGTCCAAGGGATATTCAGTACTCTTTTCCAACACTACAACTTAAAGGAATCACTTTTTCTGCTATCCTTATTCATTGTCCAGCATATACATACATATATATATATATATATATATATATATATATATATAAATATATAAATTGACTGACAAGCCTGTATCAGGAGCACCTTAGTCTTCAAACTGACATCATTACTCCTCAGTAATTTGGAGAGGACCATGACCTCAGACTTTCCATGTGCAATGTCTCCTATCTCCTGACTGCTAGCACTAAGTGTGTTCATTGTAAGATGAAATTGTTCATAGTTTCCACCTTTTCTCCAACTATCATGATATGATGTTGTCTATTGATCTAGGAGTGAGAATTTTTTGTTTTCTTGATATTGAGATGTATTTCATATTGAAGGTTTTGGTCTTCTGCAGCAAACGTTTTATGTCTTCATCACTTTCAGCAAGGAAAGTTGTATCATCTGCATAACATAGATTACTAATGAGTCTTTCTCATCCACATGATGTGGCCTGATGCCAAACTCTTCATAGAGTCCAACTTCTTGACTCATTTGTTCAACATACAGAATGAATAGGTATGGAGAGAGGATACAACTCTGATGCACATTTTTTCTGATTTTAAACCATGTATATATAGTTCCCTCGCTCTATTCAGACAATAGCCTCTTAAGTATAGGTTTTGCATGAGCACTGTTAAGCATTCTGGGATTTCCTTTCTTCTCAATGTTAACCATAATTTGTTATGCTTCACACAGTCAAATGTCTTTGCATAGTCAATAAAACATAAAAAAAACCATTCTTCTGGCATTATCTGCTTTCAGCTAGGATCCACTGGACAGCACAGTGCTATCCCTAGAGCTACAGCCTCTTCTAAACCCAACCTGAACTTTTGGTAGTTCTCTATGTACTGTCCGGGTCTCTCTTGGATAATTTTCAGCAATATTTTGCTTGCATGTGGTATCAATGCTGTTGTTTGATAATGTCTATATTCTCCTTTTATAGGAATGGGGGGGGGGTAGATGGATCTCTTCTAGTCATTTGGCCAGGCATCTGTCTTCCAAATGTCCTGACACAGACTGATGAGCATATCCAATTCATACTGTTGAAACGTGCATCAACATCAATTCCTGGGGTCTTATTATTTTTGCTAATGCTTTCAGTGCAGCCTGAACGTCTTCCTTCATCACCACTGGCTCCTGATTATGTTACTTCCTGAAACATTTCTCTGTGGGCCAATTTTTTCAGGCACAATGATTCCGTTTATTTCCTCTATCTTCTTTTTATGCTTCCTGGATCATTGTAGATTTTGCCCACAGCACCTCTCTGTATTATAAATTAAGGCTTAAATTGGTTTTTCAATTCTTTCAGCTTGAGAAATGCCAAATAAGTTGGTTCTTCTCTTTTTATTCTCCAGTTCTCTGAACATTCCCTTACAGTACTGTGCTTTGTCTTCTTCAGCTGCCCTTCAAAATCTTTCGTTCAGCTCTTTTTCTTTGGTATGTTTTCCCTTTATTTTAGTTTCTCAACACTCTAGTACAAATTTTAGTCTCTCCTGACATCCACTGTGGTTGTTTTTTTCTTTTTTCTCCTCTGTCTTTGTAATGATCTTTTGCTTCCTTCATGGTTGATATCCTTGATATCCCACAACTCATCTGGTCTTTTACCATTGGTGTTTAATGCCTCTAACTTATTCTATTCAGGTGGGATAGACTCAAGATCATCTTTTCGTTTTTATGGATTTATTTTCATTTTCTTCAGCCTCAGTTGCATATGAGTAACTGACTGATCGCCTGTTTCACAGTCAGCAACTGGTTTTGTTTTGACCTCTGATAGCGAGCTCCAACAATTTCTTCTACAGATATCATCAATCTGAGTCCTATATAGTCCATTGGTGAGAACTACGTGTAAAGTTGCTGTTTTATGTTTTTTAAAAAAGTTATTTATGATGAATAAATCATTGAGCATACAAAAGTCAATCATTCTATTTCCAGCCTCATTTCTATCACCAAGTCTGTACTTTCCAACCACTCCTTCTTCACGGTTCTAAACTTTTGCATTCTTGTCACCAATTATCATTAATGCATCTCGACTGCACACTTGGTCAATTTTGGACTGAAAAAGTTGGTAAAAGTCTTCAGTTTCCTCCTCTTTCACTTTGTTCAGTATTCTTATTTATTTATTCATTGTTGCACATTTCTCCCCCCTTCACTCCTCATCCCACAATGCACCCCTTGTTCCAGATTGTTCTCATACATATAATGCATAGTCATATAATGCAGTGTTCGTGATCTATCCACTCTTTCCCTAGTGCCTCCCCAATCCCTCCCTGTCTGTCCTATTTTATAACTTTGGTGTTATATAGTATTTGTCTTTTTGTGACTGAGATCACTCAGAATAATTTCCTCAAGGCTCCTCCAGGTTGTGTAAGGTTAGTATATTTAAATAATAGTCACATTAACAGGTCTAGGTCTTCCTTTTATATGTATGGATAATATCCTATCACTTATAACACTGTAATTTAGGGTAGAAACTGAATAGAACTTGTAAGTTCTGACTCGCAGCAATCCTCTTATGGGTTTCTGAGGCTATAAATTTTAACAGAGGATACTGACCATCTTTCTCCTGGGGAGAAAGATTCAAACTTTGGAGACCCTCAGCCTTTGGGTAAGCATCGCAAGCCACCATGGACTATACCACCATATCATAAGATGTTTAGTTCAATAAGTACTGAACACTTTTCTGTATAGTATTTATTATCGACGAGTGTATTTATTGGAGTCCTTGGGTGGAGCACATGGCTAAGTGCTTGACTACTAATTGAAAGGGTGATGATCTGTGTCCACACAGAGGTGCTCTGGAAAAGACCTGGCCAGTTACTTGTGGAAAAACCAGCCACTGAAAACCCCAAGGTCTACTCTGACACACATGGGATCATAAGGTGTTTGAACTGAATTAATGGCACCCTTTTCCCCCCCCCCTTAACGGAAGTATTCAGTGAAGGATTAGTAATAAAGTTGAGATTTAAGTATCTAAATATGGAAGCAGCTATTTTAGTAGGTGAACAGAGGCCAGGAAAGGCTTGCTGCCAGCAGAACAGAAGCATCAACCTTGGCCTGTGGGCATGAAGCAGGCAAAGCGAATAAAAAGGAAGTTCCACATTCGAGGCATTTTCATATACCTTTATAGATTTCAACTTCCAATCCTGTCTCACCGCTGCCTGCTTATAGCTCCCTCTTCCCATCCATCCTTACTCCCCGCAGTCCAAGAACTCTGACAATTCTGTGGCTATCATGACTTGCATTTATCTTGTTCATGCTTTACTAGAGGGAGTTATTAAACAGGGAGAGGCTAAAGAACAAGCCTTAAAACATAAATGGAAAGCAAAGGGGCAGGAGATATGGAATCCCCAACTTCGGCTTGATGGTAAAGGGCAGAATCACCAATGGGAAACGGACTAGAAAGCATTTAGGTTAGCACATTTTGGTGGTAAGAGTGGAAACAATTATTGTATTGTCTGTTTGTTTTAATATGGGCAACAACAACAAACACTGAGGCTATCGGTACAAGGGTCATAAAGATGCAGGTGAAGAAACTAGCCTACTCAGAAAAATCTCAGTGGGCAGGTCAAGAGAATAAATTCAGGCATGTTTGGAGTCCACTAAGGAGAGTCCCTGGGATGTCACACCCTCATTAGCCCTTCTTCTGGTTTTCCTTCTGAACAAAAGGAGAGGAAATATCTACCAAAACTCCAAAGAGCCAATCCATTACTATAGAGTTGATTCCAACTCAGAGCTATTCTACAGGACAGGGCAGAACTGCCTTTACAGGGTTTGCAAAGCTGTAACATTTTACAGAAGCAGGCTGTCACATTTTCTTCTGAGGAGACAGATAGCAGGTTTGAACTGATGACCTCTTGGTTACCACAGGGCTCCTTTCTCCTATTTAACCCATTGTTGTTGACTCTGACTCACAGTGAATCTGTAGGAATGAGTAAACTTATTTCTAGGGTTGTAATCTTTACATCTCAAGTGGCACCTCTGCCCAGAACAGAACAGCTGTTATGTTCAAACTGTGGATTTTTCAGCTGGCGTCTGAGTGGTCAGGCGACCACTGCACCAACAGGCCTCCATCCCAGGGATGTCATTTCTAGATTTCTAACTGGTAGTGAGTCATGGTGACAATTACAGGTTATCTTTAAGAGAAGTACTCTGATTGTGTGTCACCAGAACATCCATCACCTATGGATTTGTGGGAGTAGATCCGAA